ACACACACACACACACACACACACACACACACACACACACACACACACACACACTGCTGCTGTCAGAAAGCATGATTGCTCATCTGGGGCCCATCTTTTTATGAGATGGAGGTTATCGTCAGATCTACCTGAATAGCTTTCCAGGCCCCGACTTTGATCGTTTTTAATTCCAGGTCTGCAAAACACACACACACACACACACACACACACACACACACACACACACACACACACACACACACACACACTCCTCACTATACAATCTCATCCTGCCTCCTCGGCCATTTTAGGATGCTCATTTTTTCCTGTTTTCCTCATCCATATTCACAAGCGTGCTGAGACTATTACAAGGTCTGGCTTGCTGGAAATCAATTCAGGCACTTGAGGAGCCAGAAGCAGCATAATGCTGTGGCACGCACACACTCAGGCAGCTGACGGAAGACAATATATTCTACAGATGAAGCAATGAGGGAGATATTAAGCACCCACTCCCAGCACATGTTACAGGCTTTCTTTGCACGGTACTTACATTTCGAGTCTGTTACGGACGCGTGAGATGGATGTGCAAAAGCAAACGCTCAAATCTGAGTCAGAACCAGTGAAAATGAGCTCTCAGAACCAGACCTCCACACAAACAACCAGCAGATGTCATTAGTCCTCTGATGTTTACATCCTCAGAGCTGAAGGAGGTGGAACATGAGGTGACAGGAGGCTTCACAGCAGACATGAAACACGTTAAAGATAAACTCCAGCTGTCTTAGGACAAATAAAACCAGTGAGTGTGGGTTTTTCTACCAAATAAAAGCCATTTGTCTCCTTAAAATGTGTATAATGCATTAACTCCTTCTCAAAATGTGGAATATGAAGGTGCAACATGTTTTTATTCCTATAAAGTGAAAAGTCAAGTCAGTTTATTTATATTTCACAGCTAAAGAAGAACAAGTGCTGCGTGGTTTTAAACAAATTAAAAACAAATAAATCAACTAAAAAACAGAAAAAATTAAACCATTACAACAAACCACTACATGATAAATCACTAGGACTGTACAGCTATACAGATGTTACATTTCTAAGTATAAATGACTGAACAATGCCAGAAAACTATTGTTATTATTATTATTATTTTAAATGGAAAGAAAAATCCAACATAACCAAAATAAAACAACAAAGTAAATGCAGCATGTAAATGTTCTTCTTCTGTGACTTTGAATTTAAAAATAAAAAATAAAACCTGTTTCTTGTCACGGTGAGACAGTGATTAAGTTGAGCTCAGCTTTCTACACAAAGAGTTTCTGATGCTCTGATCCACGGCCCGGTTGGCTTTGGACAATGAACCGATGGTGTGACCGGTTCAGACACTAGTTTGACCAGCGAAAGTAAAAAATCCACCTTCAGCTTTGTTCAAACGACACGACGCCTCAGAAGACAAGACGAGAGCAGACTGTTGGCTGCTGGATGCTGATATGAACGTTATCCACACCCACCATGTCCACACATCATCTGACCTCTGAAGAAATCATGTCAGATAACACAGAACAACAATCTGCTGCAGGAACATGTCCGACTACATGATCCTGTTCCCAGAGATCAGTCAGCTTCACTGAGGCCTTCAGGCGCAGTGGGACAACACTGTTCTTTAACTTTGTGTATCACGGATGTGTGACTTGTTACTGATTTGGGATTTCTGGCCTTTTAACCAAACTGTTATCATTTCCTAAACAGAGCAGCCCTGGTTGTTTTATGACCTCCATTCTGTTGTAGAGATGCAGCAACCAATCCTTACCCCGCTAATTTAAAAAGAATAGACAGGATTTATTAAAATACGATCTGCTGCTTTTGCATTTTTGCTCTGTATGCATGCTGTTGGTGGGTTGGCTCGGTGGCTAGCACCGTTGCCTCACAGCTAGAAGGTNGGCTGCAGTTGTTTTCCTGTATTAACTTGTTGTTTTTTTATTCCTCGCAGATTCCGATGATCTGAGCTCCTCCGGCGACCAAAAATTCTCCAAATCGACGATGAGTCAGAGCAAGAAAAGAAAGAAAAGACGACACAGGTAAAACACAAACGATAAAATAGAGGAAAACCATGTAGACATTATTAAATAGAAGATATTTATCCCAGACACACCTGTTTTCCACTTCGGGCCTTTTTTATTCAACACAGTTTGGCTGCATCCTGAACAAAGGACCGTTTAATCCCGTTTAATCTGTGATGCTCATAAAGAGAGAGCGTGTGCTATTATTATATTTAATGTGGTCTCAGACTGGAGGAAAAAAAAAAAAAGGACAAAAGGATTACTGTCATTTTCTCCTTGTTTTAATACCAAAATGCATTTTTCTTGTTAGGAATGAAAATGTGGGAAAAATAAATCTAAAAGGCTTATTTGCTTTTTTCTTTTTAATTTGTGACAAACAGAAAATAATCGTGTCTTTTGTCAGTAATGTTATACAATTTATAAAATGGTGTTTATTTCACAAGAGGAAATAAAACATCTAATTTTACTTGATGTTGGAATTTAGTGCAGTTGGAAAATTCAGAGTTCCTGATTTTGATGTTACTTAAATTGTGCCAGTGTAAGAATATTTTTTTTTAAAAAAGACTCAGTATTATAAATCTGAGTCATTTTATGTAGCATTAGAAGCTGCCTTTGGATTGCATACATAGAGATGATTTCTGAAAATAAAGAGACAAATAAGTGTAACACAAAATCCTGTAGTTATTAATGATTAAAAGGACAAAACTGCAGTTTAAAAAAAAACAAAAACAAAGCAAGAGTCTTAAGATGAGTATTTTCATGTGGTGATAAATATCATATGAAGGTTTTTCATTCTCTCCATTTGTTTGGTGTGCAGAACCATTTTCACGTCCTATCAGCTGGAGGAGCTGGAGAAAGCCTTTAATGAAGCTCACTATCCGGACGTTTACGCCCGAGAGATGCTCTCCATGAAGACCGAGCTGCCAGAGGACAGAATACAGGTGCACAAGTCTGATCCGTTTGCCTCCTAAAACACCTAAACATCTCCCTGCAACACATGCGCTGTAATGTAAAGTGTGTGAGCATGAGGTCAGGGATGAAATGGCTTTTTTTTTTTTTTTTTTAAATGCACATTTGGATGTGGACAGCCTTCTCCATCATCATCCTCCTTCACATTAGCAGCCAATTCGCCCTTAACACTGTAATTAGTTAATAGAGGAGAACTTCTCCTGACTTTCTCTGGGAGAGGCAGGGCCGCAGCCCCCAAAATGAAATGATAACTACATAGAAATTAATTAGCAGAGGTCAGCGGCTGAGCAGAGGGCTGCGCCTGGCTGCTATGAGCATTTTAATTTCCCGTGATATTTGAGCGCCTGTCTCCCATCGACCAGGCCTGGAAATTAACTTATTTTTCAATCAGCCTCTGTGGCCCCCTCGGGTCACCTCTCACAGGGAGCGTGCAC